AAAGTAACAACAAATTACTAAAATTTAACCAAGTTCATCATTTATCGCGCTTTTTATAAACTAAAAGAAGTTTTTTTACTATTGTATTAAATGTCGTATGATAAAAAATTTTATTGTTGTTTTTATTCCTTTTACAAAACAAAATTATCTCTAATATTTCATAAGTTATAAATGTTTTAGTAACACCCCCTAAGTCAAAATTTTCAAAAAAAAACAAGAAGCCACTCTGTAAAGCTCACTCTGAAACAGCCGTGTTTTCTCAATAAAAGAAAGCAATCAAAATGTTTGAGCATGGTTTCTTTTGAGGTTTTTGCAAAAGCATTCATTTTAATAAAAATTGTGTATGTTTTGTGAGCGCATGCAAAAACCATGCTAAAGCATAATTACTTTTTTCTAGAGCGTATTTAGTTATTTTACTTAAAAGTGAAGCTATTGAAAAAAGTTCCGGCATTAATTTAAGTCTGTGAAATTAATTGTTTTTCATATTAAATATGTGTTTTTTATAATAAATAAAAAACTAATGATCGCAAAATTATTTTGAAAAAAATTGCTGAAGTGATACGTTTGTTTTGAAAAATCCTAATCAAATGGCAACGTTTGCATAAGCATAATTCAAGAAACATGATGTTTGTTTTTCTGTCTGACTTTTAAGAAATGCACGCACTTTTGTCGATTTGTCACACCCTGTATCCTATTAATTTTTTAATAAAATTTTAAACTTGCACCACAAAATTTTATTAAACTTCATGGCACTTTTAAACAGCCTAAGTTACTTACGTTTTTAAGCATCAATTTCTAAAAAAATAAATAAAAAATCTGAGGGGAGGGAGGATTCTTTCCCTCACAATGGATATGCCCTTGTATCAGCCTAATTATTCATGGGAAGGAATGATAAAGATTATTAGAGTTGTGATAATTTTTTTTTTTTACTTTTAAATGCGCAAATTATCAAAACTTGCAAAAAGCAGTGGTCAACTTTATGAGTGGTCATATAAGGCGTGCGATTGCACACCTCTTACAAGAAGGCCTGGTGTGTGTGTGTGTATATATATATATATATATATATATATATATATATATATATATATATATATATAGCTCAAAATAATTATTTAGAGGTTGCCGATCAACACTTTGTGCTTGATAGCGCTGCTTATTCCGCAGAATTCCCACTTTCTTTAAAATTCCCAAACAAAAAAATAAAAAATAAAACTTATATTGGGCCTTGTTTTAAAGTGTCACATTTAAAATACAAACGAGCCTCTTAAATAACTTTTATTAAGTGTTTCGTTGAAAATGCACTTTAGGAAGCCTTTAAAAAAATTTTTTTTTTAATGCTTAAGCTAGACAGTTGTCTGTCTTATCATAAAATTTACGATAAGTTGTTCTGCATATCCTAACTTATCATAACAATTAACAAATAAGAAATTAATTAAGTTAATCATACAAATTACCAAGTAAGAAATTAAGTTGATCAAATTAATTTTTGATTCATCATTTGATTATGCAAAATCAATCTTTCAAAACGTTAAAAAAAAATTATTTTCTAATCACCTTAAGATATTTTTAACACATTATAGATTGCCATTAACTTTAACATTTTTATTATGAATATCTCGTCCATTTATGATTCTCTTTTTTATATTTATATTACAATTTTTTTTCATTATATTTATAATATAAATATTTTTATTATATTTATAAATAAAAAATAAATTTTTTACATAAATGACTGTTTAAACTAAATGACTGTTTGCAACATTATAAACAATTGTTTAGTGAAAACATTTAAAATTGTTAAAAATACGCAAACTCATTCATTCAAAGTTTTTCATACTCAAAGTTTATTTAAAATTGAAAAAAAAACACGCAAATTAGATAAAAGTATATCATTAAAAAAATATCATATCATTAAGAGTATATCATTAACAGTATTTTGTTTGTTTACAAAATAAACAAAAAGTTTGTAATTGTAACTTTGTTTCGTAAACTTTTACTTTATTCTTAGCCAGTTTGTTTCAGATCCTGATTTCCTTTTCAAAGAAATAATTTTCTGTTGCTTTTTTCTTGCATCTATTTTATGATAATTTTAATACTTTTTATATAATTTTACTTCTAAAGCTTATTTTCTAATAATTTTAAACAAAATTTTATTTTGTTTAAAGCATTATGATGTTTTATGAAGTCAACATTTTTTCTACTAATCATAAACTCACATTATTTACTATTTTTCAAAATTTTTCTCATAAAACTTTATTGTTTCTAAATAATAATGCAAACTAAATTTATTTAAAAAAAATCAAAATAGTAATAAACTTTTTGTTTATTAAATTTTCTAATACCTTTTTAACAGTTTTTTTTTTAAGTTTTGGTGTCAATGTTTTACTTTTGTCTTTTGAAGATTTTGTGATGTTTGTTTTAAAATGTTTTTGAATTTTTAATATAAAGTTTGATATGCAATTCTGGACAATCAAATTTGATCGTCCAGAATTGATTTTAGGAGATCAAAACATATTTTCCATAAGTAGACGATCATTGATCGTTGATCGGCCGCTATTTCGAGCGCTGATATATATATTAGTGATGTACTAATTAATCGGCATCAGCTTAATCGACCTCTTATTGCACAATAGGAATCGGTATTGGCATCTGCCTTATTTTATTAATTTACATATTTTCCAACCAATGGCATTTTATTATTTTTATCCTGCATTATGATAAAAATTAAATAATTAATAAACTAAACTTTATGCATTACTTAGAAATTTTTTCAGAAATTGTTTATTTTGACATTGTTTATTGTTTATTCTTAAGATGTTTTTAACCTATAATATTGACAGCTGAATGTACTTATACTCCATTATATTTTTTTTTATTACTTTTATTTATTCAGCTGAATGTAATTACAGCTGACTTATACTTTAATTACCATTTCGTTTTCAGAATAATTTTAACTTGTGTTGTTTTATTGTTATACTTAAAAGTAACATATTTAAGCATTGTTATCTATATGTGTTTAAGTATAGCCTACTATATTTCTATACTTTTATTTTTTATTTTTTTTATTTTAATTCACTTCCCCAAGGCCATGAAGGCCAATTACAACCCTATCTCAACTTAATAACTACAAGTTACAAGCCTCAATCTCAACTTAATAACTCCTAAACACAAACCTTGACAAACAAGGCTGCTGTGGAGAGAAACAAGTTGAGCGCAGTACTACCGGGGACATGGTGGGGATCAAACATCACAAATCAAAATTTTTCTAAAAACAACTTAATTATCTAATAATAATTTATATATCTAAACAACATATGATTGTTTAGATATCTAATAAATTAAAAAAGAGTTGTAAGTAAGCTCTAGACTAACTTACCTAAGGGTTGCAACAAAATTTTGCAGTCTTCTCCATAAGCTTGTTTCATATGGTGTATCTGGGAAAGTTTTTGAAATTATCAAATCGTTTCTTTTTACCCCGCTTTATCAAATTCATCCTTGAAGGCCAACACTGTTCTTTATTTCTAGTAACTTCTGGGGTAGCTCAAAGTTCTATCCTTAGTCCTATTTTGTTTCTTATCTACATTAATGATCTTCCCGACAACCTTACATCTAAAGTAGCTCTTTCTGCTGATGACTCAACTTTATACTCCTGTCTTGACAATAGTCTTCTTTTTTTGATTGCTTAGAACAGACTGTTATTTGTCCCTGTATGGAATAATGTTGTCATATTTATGATGGTTCTTCTAATGATGCTCTTTCTCTTTTAGACAAGATCCTAAAATGTATTGTAAACATACTTGAACCCGGAGATGCATTGTAAAAGTTGATGGAACTAGTGATAAAAGCTCAAAAAAAGGAGCTTTTATCTGTAGTTCCATCAACCAAAACTCATTCTTGCTTGACTCATCATTCATCAAAGTCTCATTCTTTTACTGTCTCTGTCCCTGCATGCTCCAAAAACTTTTATTTGTCTAGTTTTTTTCCCCGCATTTTAACCCTATAGAACTCTCTCCCATCTTTATGTTTTCCTGTCTCATACAACCTTCAACTTTTTAAGTCTTCTGTCAATCGTTTTCTTGTTCTATAGCTCTAGTTTTTTTTCAAGTAACTTCTAACTTAATAGTGGTTGCTTTCAGACTTGTTGGGAGTGAATCAGAATAATAATAATAATAATAATAATAATAATAATAATAATAATAATAATAATAATAATAATAATAATAAAAATTGCTTATGATACCATTTTCTTTTTAAAATTAAAATAAAAAGCGTTCCTTTAAAATTGTATTTATTTTTGGAAAGTTTTCTTTTCATAGTAAAAAAAAACTAAAAAATGTATATTTTTTTAACTGAGTTTTTTTAATATCTTTTAAAATAATGGTTGGGCTCTGATTTGGGTCCAATTATTTGTTTACAAGTACTGATTCCCTGAAAAAAATTACATGATTTTAAGTTGTATGGTTTTATTTTACAAAATTTTAATAATTAGTTATTAATTATTATTAATTATTATTCATTGGCCTTTTCCCATTCATTAGCATCGGTATCAAACAAGTGCTGTCGGTACAATATATATATATATATATATATATATATATATATATATATATATATATATATATATATATATATATATATATACACATATATATAAATATATATATATTTTTCTGTGTGTGTATTTGTGTGTCATTATACTAGAGTTTTGTTAAAAAGGATTGTTGATACATTTCTATGTCCAAATAAAAATAGTCATAAGTAAATGGTAATTTTGATTATTATGTAAAAAGTTAAATTTGAATTCAATGGAAAACAAAAAAGTGTGTAATCTAAATTTTGTGAATGTAAAATATAACTAATCAAGTAATAACCAATTAAAATTATATAGTTTATTTTTAAGTTTTATATAATTAGTAAATAATTTTCAAATTTTTTAGATACAATTATTAATTAAAATATATTTTAAAATTATATTTATCAAAGCTTTTTTTTTTTAATAGATTGTTCAATTTGTTTTATTACAAAATGAACATAAGTCATCCTGGATTCAAACGAAACATGTTCGTGCAACTCAACATGATACAAGGAGTCTTGCCATTTGTGCAGAGCCTTATAATTGTCTTGTTTCTGGAGGAATTGATCCAAGATTTGTTGTTCATTCTCTTAATAATTTTTCATTAGAAAAATGTGTTTTTTATCCATGTTTACCTCAATCTAGTGTGTGTCAGTTAGCACCTAATGGAAATCTTTTGTTATTTCGTGAACAACAAAAGTTGAATATTTGGAAAATGAATCATATCAACAATAATGATCGTGTTATGCCAAAGAAGTTGTTTGAGATAAGAGCAAATGGTCATGACCATTTAATTTGTTCAGCTATATCACACAATGGATCTTATGTTGCTTATTCGAGTTTAGAAAAGTCACAACTATTTATGTTAAGTGTTGAATCATCAGAAGGGCCTTCTGTTCAGAAAATTAAACTAAGATTATGTCCTGCAATAGTTATGTGTTTCTCTAATAGCGAAAAATTACTCATAACTGTCAATAAGTCAATCAATATTACCCATATTAATTCATTTAAAACTGAGTTAATAGAACTAGATAAAGGTATAGATCTTCCCTTCAGGCACATTGTTATTAGCAAAAATGATGAGTATGTTTGCATTGTTGATTCAAAATCTAAGTGTCTAATATTTTCTTTGCAAGAGAGAAAATATATTACATCTTTACCTACTCTTTCTGGTCATGTTAGTTGTTTGAATTTTCACCCTAAAACAAATAATTTGTTTGTATGTACCAGTGACATGTTCTTGTATGAATTTAATATTCAAGAAGATATGTTTATGCCATGGTTATTTGACTTCAATAAAACTAAGTTACTTACTGCAAGGAAAAAAAATGAAGAAATACAAACTATAACTTTTCCTCCTAAAAATTACAACCAGATTATTCTTCAATTAAGGAACTACATTGTAAAAATTAACTATGGTACAAAAATACTTTTTCCAGATGATGAGGCAGCATCACAACCAAAAAAAAGTAGACAGAAAGGTGTATATAAAACTATACGTGGTTTTAAAGATATAATGTTTTTTGAATTCAATTCACTCAATGAGTTGGTTATTGTTGAACGGCCATTCAAAACCATTTTAAAGTCTTTACCTGATCCACTGAACATTAAGAAGTTTGGCACTTAAAAGTTCATAAAATTGTATAATATTAAAATTAAAAATAATGTCTTACAAGTTGTTATTTTTGAATTATTCTTTTTAGTGTATCCATAAAAGGTGCAAAACTTATTAGTGCTTAAAAAAATTACCATTCAGACTTCCTAACTTTTTTTATGTTTGTCAATGAAGGGTGTCTTTCAAAAAATCAAAGATAACCCTTCTACTTGCACCTCAGCACCTTTTTATTTTAAATATAAAATTATTTTATTAATATTATTTTTAGTCAAATCCATTCATTCTAAAAAATGAGAATGTATTTTTTCTTAAAGTTTCATTTTTTTTAACTTCATTTTTTTTTTATTTAACATTAAAATTATAAATCTTTATACTTTAAACACTGCATAATTAATGTAAATTGATTAAATTATGTTGTTTAATTTGTATCACACATGATATAAAATTAAATAGTGGAAAAACTTTCAAAATTAATAACAAAATAATTGTTTTAGTATAATTAATTTATTGATTTGAGGTCTGTGAAAGCAAAATATTGATTTGAGGTCTTTGGAACCAAATAAAAATTTATTTTTAATTGTTAAATAAAGTCTCAAATGTTAAAATTGAATTTTTTACATTTAAATTTACGCAAAATGTATTGCAATGACATTATATTTATATTATACAGAAAAAATATATATATAGTATTAGAATGATAGTAAAATTAAAAAAAAAAAGAAAATATAAAATATTTTATGTTTTTGAAGTTTTTTTTACTGACAGAAAAAGGTTTAAAGCATTTTAAATTCTTGTAATTAAATCTTTTTTTAATAGTTATTGATTTGAGGTCTGAGGTAGAAAACGTTTTATGGCAAGCTAAACTGTATTTATTTTACTGCAAATTTACTTACTGGTTTAAGGTCTGGGGTTGAGATCATTTTTATAGCATATTGGACTGTATTTATTTTATACTGCAAATTCACTTAATAGTCAATTTAACTTTAAAAAAAAGTTCTTTTTTTATTGATTTATTATGTTTTCTAATTTTCATGATTTAAGGTAATAACAAACAAAAAAAAACATTTAATGCTGATTATGAGTAAAACAAACTTTATTTTGTTAATAATGAGTTGCGTTTCATCAGAATCCATCTCAGATGATTTAGTACCATACATGAATGGTGGCCATCTTGATCAAATGCGTAATCATAGATATGTTAGAGAATGCTTGAAAACTCAATACGGTGAATTGACATATGAATCAATAAAGCCTATTGAGATAGATTCAACTTTTATTACAAATTATATTGGATACGAAACTGATCATTTGCAGTTTGGTCACAGAACTGTTATCAAGAACCCACTTAAAATGCTATCTGTTTTAGAGCCATTGAAAAGTGGAGGCTGTAAAACAAATTCTCTAGCATATGTTCATGAATCTGCAAAGCAGCAGAACTGTCGCATAGCTGTAAATGCAGGGTTTTTCAATCCATTTGAAACTGATAAAGATTATGGAAAATGTTATGGTAATATTATAAGTAATGGAAATCTAGTGCAGGATAATGGTGGAATACAAAATGCTAACTTTGGAATTCGGTCAGATGGAACATTAGTAATAGGTTATCTACCTGAAAAAGAAGTAATTGATAAAAAAAATCCATTTCTTCAACTACTTAGTGGCGTTGGTTGGATTTTGAGAAATGGCTCAAGTTACCTAAAAGAAAGTGAAAAAGCTGAATGCAAGGAGTCTGAAACCACAGGTACCTTAGATAAGTTTTTTAATGTTAAGTCTGCCCGTACAATGATTGGTTATGATGCCAAAGGTCATGTGCATATTGTGCAGTTTGATGGAAAAACAGGAAAAAGCGGGTTTGTTTGTTTGTTGATTGTAACTTTTATGTATGTTATTATTGTTTATTTATAACTTAGTTATATGTATAATAAGTTTCAAAGAAGTTTTTAAATAATGATCAAAATATAAATATTATATAATATAAATAAAATTTAAATTTAAAATAATAATTAAAGTCTCATTTTTTAGAATAAATTTATATGAGGCAGTTGAATACTTAAAAAAAATTGGTTTAATCAATGCAATTAATTTTGATGGAGGGGGCTCAGCTACATATGTTCAAGATTCAATAATTTTAAATTACCCATCAAATGAATGGTAATTTTTTTCTTAACTTTTTAATGTGAACTATGTTTGAATGATATATTTTTTGTTATGCAAGTGATTTGATTTAGTTTTTTTTTAGTTTTTATTTTTTTATTTTCTTGAAATAATTTGAAACAATTTTCACTTATTAAAGAAAATAATATATATGTATATTTATTTATATAAAATGAATAAAAACAACTTTTGATGGAACTCTGAGATTCATGCCTTTCAGTAATCATAAGCCATTGTGTATTTCATAACTTAAAAAACAATTTAAAAATTAAGATTACAGTGTATTAAGTTCTGGCGTTACAAAAACAAAACAAAAAGATGTTTTAGTCCCGGTGTCGAATAAGGATAGTAAAAATTTATTTGAATGCAGGCACTTTGATATTATTTCATATCTTTTATTAAGTAAATTTTTTCCTTTGTATGACAATATATGAAATTTCTTGCGGAGACAAAGATTACAAACTTTTGATGCTTGATTGTATTGTAGGGCTAACATCGTGCTATTATCTTCCATGTTATCACAGGATTTTTATGTTTCGATTTTAGCTTTCATATTTCTTTGGAAAGTTCTGTGTCATTTTTATATTTGGTTGCATTGAAAGATTTAAGATGGTTGGCATATTTTTAATTTAAATGTGGTTTCACTTATACCAAAATAAACTTTATTTTATATTTTTTATATGATATTTTATCGAGTTGTAAAATTTTGTTGTTATGTGCATTAATTAAACACTCGACATTAGGCATGCAACTATAGCTAATTTTAATATAGTTTCAATTAAAAATTGTATAAACTCGGTGTTCTACTGGAAAGTGTTGGTCAATTAAAGCTAAGAAGCAATTTCCAATTTTAGTTTCAACATTTTTGCTCAACGTATTTTTGCTAAACCATTTTAAACTTTAAGTTTGCAATGTCTTCTTTTGGTTTTTGTTTATTTGTGGTTGGTAGGTGAATTTTGAATTGTATCCTAATTTACGTAAAGCCTCTGCATACAGAAGAATGGAATTATTGAACACTGTTTCATTTACTGACATATATTGGGGCCCTGGCTAAAAATGAGACTTTTTTCAAACCTGGCCTGGCTATACTATAAGATATATTAAAATTTTATACTTACATTTACTATTTATTAAATACTGCCATATATTTATATATTTTCAAACTTTAGTTTACTTCCAACAAGATTGCAAGCAACCACTATTAAGTTATCAGTTACTTTAAAATTGAGAATAAGTAAAAATACTAGGAAATGGTTAACTGAAGACTTAAGAAGTTGTTGGTTGTATATAAAAGAAAAACATAAAGATGGCTGAAGTTGTTGGTTGTATATAAAAGAAAAACATAAAGATTTTTTGATGTGCAAGGAAAAAAACTGGGTTGATAAATCTTTTTATAGCATGAAGGGACAGATACAGTAAAAAGATGCAGCTTGATGAATAAGAAAAAGCAAGAATGAATTTTGGTTGATCATAATAGAGATGATAGCTTGATTGAGCATTGACCATGATTGTATTTGTAAAAAAAGGAAAGAAATGCAACCTTGCAACAATGGATGAGTGGCTCAAGCTTGACAGATAAAGTAGGTCTAATTTATTATTATTTTTTTAATATTAATTTACCTCGTCAAGGCTTAAAACACTACTACAGACGAGCAGGCTACTTAATTGTGGTTATAACCCTTTTTAACCTTAGAACTCCGAAACACAAACCTTGACAACCAATGTCGCTGTGCAGAGAGAAAACCTTTATATAAAGAAACTAATAACAGAACGAAGACTAAAAGGATAGTTATAGAGGTCAAAGTGTTTTTTTAGAGTTTTGAAAAATTGGAACCACTTATTTAGCACTTAAAAAATTAAAAAAAAATTAAATATTGAATATTATATAATTAATAAGATTAAATGTTAGACTTTTTTTTGTTAATGACACTGTTGAAGACTAACCAAAAGTCTCTAGAACCTAACATCTGATATAAGATACAAGATTTATGAAAATGAGAATAACAGAGCTTAACATCAGATAGGACTTTTTTACATTGGCTTCTTGCAATAAAATTTGTTCTTAAAATGAAATAAATGATTAATAAAGCAACTGCTCAAAGTGATGAAAAATAAAAATAATGCAAAACATGGAGTAGAATGAAGACTTAAAATTGAAGAGTATGAATAAAAGCTTCCAAACTTTTAGTCCAGAAGGAGTAAAAGCTTCTGAGATGCGCTTTATGCATACATGTTAAGGGCATAAACATATATGTTTCTATTTATTTAGATGCTGGCATACAATATCCTTTCATATTTATATAAACTTTAGTATATATATGGTGTAGTATATGCCAAAAGTGAAGAAGATGATTATGATGATGATGATAATGAGGGATTTTTTTATTATATTAGGTGGATGGTTTGAATCAGAATGAACATATATAAGTTGGTTATTAGGTTTACAATATGGTTGATAAGAACTGTTAATCAGGTTTAATGTTACATCAAGATAATTGACAATTTTAAGTAGGTTGTTACTTTTAAAAATATGTGTAAAATGCTTTTTGATTTTTTCCATTTGTTGGCCGCTTTTGTTTTCAAAAATAGCCCGTCATCACAATACAATCCATAATTAATTTTATCAAAATGTTGAGAGAGCTGAAACAATATAAAAATACTAACTAGTTTGCAAACTTCAGCTCTATCCAATGCTCCCATTGTGATATCATATAATCCATCTCTTTTTATTATCCAGGCTTTATAGTTTTTAAAAATTAAAGATTTTCTTGCGTGGTATATTAATTTTTATCATCATTGTTTATAATGACATGGTGTTCAGCCAAACTAATTGCATTGATAAGAGTGTTTTCACTAATAGATGGGTAAAATTCATTTATATTAAAAATTAGAAATTTGCAAAGGTGTTTATTTGTGATTTTTTTAAACCTATCTTTAAACAAATTGGGTGCTTTTCCATTGATTCAACTGTAGTTTAATCTTTAATTCATGAATAATTTTGGATAAAATGACTACTGGTTCTTCCTACCTAATTTTTTGAAGGATTTAAAAGGCAAACCTAAAGGTTGTTAATAAAATTATCCTTATGGTCTTTTAAAGTGAAAAAATAGCCAGACAATCTGTTTATTTTAATATTGTTATACACTTCCAGGGTGTAAACTAGCCCTGTGAGGTCCTGTCAAACGCAGTACTCCCAAATGCTCATAAAATTAAAATTCTCAATTAAAAGTTAAAAAAATCCATTCTCCAAATAAAGTTTGGCAAAAGAAAGTTTAATAATAATTCTGAAAGTTGTTAAAAATTAATTTTTATTAAATACTAATAGAAAAACAGCATAAGAACATAAGAAATTCTAATTTATTAATTGTGTGAAACTTGAAATAAAACTGCTGTTATTTACTACGCATTCTCTTGGAAAATTGTGTGAAACTTGAAATAAAACCGCTGTTAATTTTAATAAAAAAGTTAATTTTAATGAAAAAGTTTTGAAAAAGTGCCTTAACTCATTATAGATCTTAAGAAAAGTTACAAAAAATTGCCAATAAATATTATATACGATCAGAACAGATCAAATTATTAAACTATGTTCATTTCACCTAAACAACGTATTTAATTAAAATCTTATATTATTTGGACAAGCAATCGTGGTTTAAGGAAAAAAAAGTTTAAAAAAAAAAAAGAATCTTTGGTCTGTTTTTTTTTTTTTTTTTTTGATACAAACACTTTTATTTTGTGTTATGACATAAATTTAATTTTTTTAGGTCTTAATAACATTTTATGACTATAAATGAAAAAATAATTGTTGGTATTCTTCATTGCAAATATTGCGTACAATTGCGATCAATATTCTTTTGTAATTTAATGTTTGTGGGTTTTTTCGCCGAGAATTTGTAATTGTAACTTTACTTCACAATGCAATTTATTTATAAAGATAATAGTTATTAATTAATAAACTGAACTTGCAATAAATGTAAAATATAAATCTTATGAACTCGTGTTTACTATTTTCAAAACCAATTTCAATTTTTTATTTCTATTTTTAAAACATTTCTTTTGATGATACAATTTATTACATGATGGTGTAAGGGTTCATCCATAAAGGCAAGTTTCCACTCATCCGTTTTTCTATGGAAATGGAAAAATAATCACATGAGCATGCGCAGTACTCATTCAGACAAATTAAAACTTTTGTTATCCATGCTCACATGATTATTTTTCTTTACCTTTCCTATTCCCGTAGAAAACAGATGAGTGGAAACTCACCTTAAAGGACGTCAAACAGAATTTAAATAATAATTAGAAGTAGAAGATCATTGGCTCTCTTCTGCGGAGATTTTCATTAACTATATCACTTTAAAAACTGCCCTTTAATGCCCACCAGTGAAAAAAAGATATATATGGGCAATTCCACGGCAGAAATTAAAAAAAGTAGTCAAATTTTATTCTTTTTTTTTGTCATCTATTAGCAAATGAATATTGTTGTATACTTTTTTAAATTTTATTTAAAATGTCAAAGCTGTTTAAAGTTATAAAAAAACACGGAAATCGTTAAAAAAAAGATTACAATATATTATGAAAATATAAATATATATAACTTAATTTAAATAAGTACTAAAATTAATTAATTTAAAGTCATTTTTATGCTTCCAAAAGTTACTGTTTTTCTTATTGTCAAATGATAAAAAAAGTAAAATGTTATTTTAACCATCAATTTATTTGCATAATCGGAATGAATGAAAAAAAAAAGTAAAATTGGAGCTAACATGTTCAAATAGTTCTTGGTCAGATTTTATACTTTATAAAATATATATTTTAAGAGAATAACAAAAAAACTTTTGCAATTTTCATGTAGCATAAGTTAACAAAAACATGATAAAGTTTTGTTTTTTCTAAAACTTAGTTCAAAAACTTAAGTTTTTTAATAATATATGCGAAAGAGTATTAAATGTTATATTTTTGCATTTAAAGTTTTGAATAGTGGTGCTTAGTTAAAGCAC